TTACAAATACAGTTTAATTATGAAAAATAAATTATGGCAATATGTACCATTCTCACAGTCATAATGTTCAGCTGATTTGTTCAATAACCTCTCAATTTAGCACTAGAACTTCTTGAAATTTAACTAAAGCTAATAATACAACATTTGTTTGACTAAGATGCCGTTGACCAATTATTCAACTAAACCAACAGTCCTAAAAAAATACAGATTGTTAGTAAACCGCAGTGAGGTCATGTGGGTTGTATGGGCAGTGATAGAAAGTTAGTCTGGTGTTTTGTTAACGCACTGTTTGTATTGTTGTCCTCTTGAGCAAGACACATCAGCAATGTTACTTGCTGCTTCCTCTTTTTAACTGCAATGTATTTGGTGCCTTATTCAGTGTATGTACTGTTAGCTTCCAAAGTACTCACCTGCACCTAGTTCTGAGCAGAGACAATTTGACTCCTGTCCGGGCGTGATTGTCGGTTCTGATCTCCTGTTCTTTGATTGGTCACTGCTGGACGAATTGAGGAATTACCTCGCTTCGTTCCGATTCAGTTATTGTTCAAAAACAGCTGGCATTTTGAGATTCAACATTTATTTCTAGTGCATTTTCTTTGCATTTAGTTTAGTCCAATTAGATTCGAGCTGTGAAATGATACATAAGTTATACATGACTAATTATACTGAGTAATATTGTTATGTGTTTATCACATTTCAGAAATAAACTAGAAACAGACAAAAATTGCTTTTGGATTTGATTAGATTGTGTGCCACCCTGTAGGCTTAAGCTAACTCTGAGGCCATATGTTTATGCATGAAGTCTGAATGTAAAGAACGCAAGCTTTATCTCCCCATAATCTCCTCATGCCCACACCAGTCTTATTGTTATGGATCTAATGTACATAATGCTTCACAGTGAATACGTAATGGCACAATTAGATGTAATTACATGTGCTGTAGGCTTTGCTAACATAATTAGGCAGCAATAAAAGAGCTTCCAGTTACACTTAAGAGAACATAATCAAAGTCTGAAAGATAAAAGGACAAAAACAAACAAACATTGGAAAATGGAGTAAGGGAAGGCCTGAAGCACACTCTGTACACGGGACAAGAGCAAGAACTGGGTTGTTGTAGACAAGAAGTATAACAAGTGACAAGTTGGGTGGAAGTGTTAAAATAAAGGTTACACATATTCTTTAACCTAATTACTGCAATGCTGAATGCTGAAAAAACAATGAGTGCAGCAGTCTCACAGTCCTAAATCATTTGAGGAAATGTTATCACAAACAGTGTATTCTATAATGTTCTTATTTTAAAGTTTTTAGTGCTCCTGTGTTGTTCCTGGCCACTTTTATAGCCCCCTTTTCTCTCCCAGATCAACAGTTTAGGAAACGCTGCTCCACTGCAACTCTAGCAATCATAAAATACTTAAGGGCGAAACAAGGGCTGTCTACGCCTGGTTTTTAATTTATACTAGAGCCATCATAAGATAATAAGGTATAAGGAACTATTTTATAATTACCAGTACATACAACAGACCGTTCCCCATCCCAAGCTAACGTTCCACTGGTAATTTACAGCCTTCGAGACCTTTGCCTCCCTCTGTTATGGTTCATGTTCATTTGAAGCGCTCTGGTCCAATCTTTTAAAGCTATTCCAGCCAATATCAAAAATGTACTTGATTTTCAGACATTACAAAGATTCCAAAACCACAGAAGCTCAACACAACCGTCAAAGCGACGACAAATTTTAGCAAGACACTTTAACACACACTCAAGTCCCGTACTAATCACACTTCACTAACAAGACTTGTGTTTAGTGTCTTGTTGTTGAGGGCTTCAGTGTGAGGGTTGTGTGCAGCATTGACAGCCCCTCTGAGGCGAGAGACATAATGAACTGGTGCTGACAGGAATAAAGGGAGGCTCTGCTGACACTGAAGCCTCCAGCAGGTTAAAGTTGCATTTAAAGCCTCATCAGATAACTCTATTGATGACAAACTATGTTCAGTCATTATTGCCTATCAATCAATCATACATAAAAAAACATGTACATACAAATATTGTTAAAAAAATAGCACCCACGCAGACACGGTGAGAACATGCAAGCTCAACTCAACTCGACCAAGTAACTGGTCCAAACGGGATTCGAACCCAGGACAGCACAATCTAACAGCTAATTAAGTTAATGTACCCTAACACTAACCCTCACCCACATGGGAAAGTGTCAGTTAGAAGTAAGATAGATGTTGAATAAGGCCATGTAGAATAAGGACTAATAAGTGATAAATAACTACAGATTAAGAACTAATTAACCATACATTATACACTGATTCACACTTAATTAGCTGTTAAATAGTGAGGGCTCAACAGCGTGACCAAAAATGCTAATAAGATACAATACCTATTTTTAATTTAGTAAGACCAATGTAAACCCTTTTTCTTAAATAATCCTATTTTGTTATAGCCAGAGATCCAGACTTTGAAAACAGAAGCATGAGACAACAATCAATCTTCAAAACATAAAATTAAGATGTACCAATAATTAATATTTATATAACTAATAATGTTATATTTTTGTTCAAATGGAACTAGAAGCACTAGATAGTCCTAAAGTATGTCTTCATTTTTAGCTAAACAGAATTGAATCTCTTGGATATATATCGTAACTAGGGCTGGGCAATAATATCAACTATCTCGATATGCAGTATTTTTTTAACCGGATAAATAACCTTCCAAAAGAAAACAAGAAAAATCCATGCCCTGTATCTCCATGCGTATTGTATGTCATGGTGCGTATCGTGTCTACAAACTCTAAGATAAAGCTGCCCAGCTCAGTTCATCTAAATTCATCAAGCACCTCGGCTGAACGTCACATATTTTCCCTTCGCTGGTGATCCTGAAGTCCATTGCTTTGATATCCACACAAAGTAGTCATTAAACCATCAGTACTCTTTAATGTTTGCAGTCTTGAACACAAACCACACGGCGTGAAGCACATCCTGCACATTTGCTTGCGATGACTACGTACTGGAGAGTCTTAATTAGGCATAAAGTGACAATGTGCTAGCCTGTTAGCCTCTATAGCATAGTGCTTGGTACAGTGCTGGCCATTAACAGTGCAAATGAAGAGAAGCGAGTTGACAGGGCCCAGGAGTTACTGATGAGGTATGATGGATGGTTCTCCACTCAAAAACATGGCACCTCATCACTCACCTCGGACACAAACACACAACTCTCATTGTGTCATACGTGATTTATCTTATTCTGTCCCTTATTAACCCACTGCACAATCACTTAGTCTATTTTTCACATTCGTTCATTAGACATCGCATTGTGCTGGCACTGCAGTCACATATAGCGCATACAGCTCATTAGTTGCACAGATAAGGACTCGGCTATGTTCACCTGTTTTCAGTACACGCACACACACGCACGCACACACACACACACACACACACACTTGGTTGAACATGTGATGTTGTGTTGGTAAATTTAGATTCAGGATAAATATAACAATAACATTTACAAAATTCTACAGGAAATGTAGTGCATATAAATCTATAAATTACAGTTGGTTTGGCCTAAGTCATTACTCCTGTAAATTACAACTAATCACTTGTGCTTGAATCTATTTGACCTCATTCACCTATTTTGTATTTGTCCAAAAGAAAAGTTAAAAACAAAATGTGCCCAGTTTTCTCACACATAAAAAATGCAAGCTGCTACCTTTCCAGTGTTTTTCCTTGCAAGATAAAGAAGTCTAAGCTTACAATGTGACAGACTCATTACACGCAGAGTGAGATATATCAAGCCTTTATTTGTTATAATGTTGATACTTGGCTCTCAGCTTGTAAAATACCCAAATAAAACATCTCGTGAAAATAGGATTTCTAAAATGTGTAAGCCATAGTCACCAATATTATTACAAATAATAGAAATTGGTTTCCCATTTAAAGTTCAATAACTGAAATAACTTTTGAACAATATTCTATTGTTTCAGCTGTATTGCTTAAATAACAATATCCACATTGCTTTAGAATCAATTCAGAATCAATCTTGAAACAAATGCTTACAATGATGTCGATAATGAAAATGTATGTCTATTTTGAATGACATCAATAACACAAAATAAGAAAATGCATTATTCAGCTGAAGCAGAAAAAGTGAGATGCAGAGATCACTCTGTCACCTTCCAAACGGAGTCCTCCCTCTGTTTCACACCTGAGCTCGTCACCATCAGCCTCGGTTGCACGTCACACAGTTCTCATCAGCATTACTTCACGGTTGCATTTAAAGGTGACTCTCAGTCCTTGGATCAAGCTGCTGTTTGTGCAGCAACCCACATCCTGCCCCACTGCCTCTTCAGTGAACATTGAGAACCATGTACCCCAGACTTCCAGACTGAATGTATGCTTTAATTCGAAATGTTTGATTCAATGATTTATTATTTGTGAATCGACAACCTTGTAAAGCCCTCCGAGACGACTGCCATTGTGATTTAAGTACTGAACGTACGAAAATGGGTGAATTGAATGGAATTTGGTTGCGAATCATTTTCAGCTCATCAGGATTTAGGCCCCGGGGCTCACAAGCTCATAATCTCTATTAAATTCCTGCATACGTCATGTGATATTTTTGCCAGGTCAAATCGCCAAACATTAATGAATATTTGTTTTTAAAATGCAATAAATGTACCACATGCATCTGTTGGGTCTAATTCTGTAAACATGCAGCTACATATATTCACACAAACCTGCCAATGCCGAACGTTTTTGCATTCCCAGGTTGAATTGTCGTTATATCCAAACCTCAAGATCAATATATGTACATATGTTCCTCTCCTCGCCGCTGAAGCGCAGAGTAAAGAGTGGTTTGCCTTCCAATCCCCAATCTATGTGTGACCTGTGCAGACTTGTATAACAGCAGCAGTAATAGAGTTTGTTCAGGCTCTTCCTTTGGACTCTACTTTCCCTGATGTCATTAGCTGTCACCACTGCTGTCACGTTTGGACAAAGACATATGGTGTGTGTAGGTGAGCATGCATTTTTTACTGAAAATGCACAGAAAGTACCCAAAAAGAGAAAGTATGCTGGTTTGGAGACTGTAGCTAAAATATATATGTGCTCAGATGTTATGGTTCACCTTTGGGAGGAGGGATAAGAACACGGCTGCTGGCGAGGAATGAATTTACGGGGTGCGATCTCCCAGAAACAATTTCTTTATGTGGGTTACACACATTGAGAGTGGCTCCTGTTCCCCCCGAGGCCCCGGCACAACGCACTCTGCTGCAAACCGCCAATGAAATCGCCAACACCTTTTATAGGACACCAGATTTTTTTATGTTTTTTATTTATCCCCAGCAGCTTTTTCTCAATCGCCGTGTGCGTGTGTGTGTGTGTGTGTGTCTGTGTGTGTCTGTGTGTGTTTGGTTCTTCACCGCTGTACCTCATTCTTTTTTCATTTTCATCTTGTACAGCTGCAGCGAGAGAAACGCAACGCGGACTGTGCTTTTCATTCCATCCGGGTGGCTCACATAATCCACAGAGAGACGACGAAGACGACGGATCCAAACGAGAAGCCATTTTTTTTGAATGATAAAAAAAGAATAGCTCATTATAATCGCAGCTAACCTATTAAAATCGGTCTAGTTGTGTTATTTAACAATTATCCTGCAAGTAACTACAACAGGTTGTTATGAGTAAACATTCAAACTCATTCTGAGATTATCAGACAGTAAATCTGAATACATCAACGGAAAGCCCAATCAGGATATCGATCTCACGGAACCGATATACGATCCGACAAATGTCCCGAGATCCATGATGTAACACTGCACCCAAGAGAAGTGTCTATATGTAAAAAACCATGACCTATGACTTGTACGTCCGTTATTTTTACCTAAATAAATTCAGTAATGTTTTAAAACACTACGTACTGTGTGTAAACATTTGGTATTCCATTGTATACGATTTGTCTCTATGTTTGAAAAGGAGTATTTTAAGGAGTAGATTGCTTGTGCTGGCTTACAGAAATTTGCAGAGTGTGCGCTGTTCCAAAGTTAATTTATCAAAGGAAGTCTGCCTCAAACTAGCAAAGAACGATGATAAAACAAAATCCATCCACTAGAGAGAATGTTGTTCATTATATGGCTATTGCATTGTACTCATTATTGTGCCGTAGATTTTAAAGGACATGGAAGTTCAATTTGTAACGACACAGTTACATTTTCCACTCCGGTTGTATATTATTTGCATCCACTGCAACTTTGCAGAACATATTTTCAGAGCCTTTCCTTGTTCTTCACTACAAATACCATCTACTGGATACATTTCGTCCTTAATGTGTTTCAAATGCGGTTTTGATCCCGAGCATAAGCCTCCTCCAGATCTGCCCACTCCTCATCCTCTCAGTCATGGCCCTGCCTCTGCAGCTTCAGCACAAGCGTGACAGAAGAACACATCACTGCTATAATGCAACACTCAAACATCAAACCACTCTTACAGCACTTTAGAGTCACCAACCAGGCCTTTACAACCACTAACCATTTAGAGAATAATACTATTTCTGTATTTATGTTTCCCCTAAGTTTCCCCAAAGGCTGTTAAAAAAAGAAAGAATTCAAGATTAGGCATAGAGCTGCTGAAATCCACTAATGTGCTCGTTCATTAAATTCTCACATACCGTTCCCATGCGTGCACTGTATATATAGACTGCACAACCTGCTGCAACTATTTTAAATGTGATGCCAATGACAAGTAGCTGTGCGTCACCTAGTGTTGCTTGTAGGTGCGTTCAGCAGGAAATTATAATTATCACATTCTGCTCGAGAGCTGTCTGTGATGAGGCTAACAGGAACGCAGGCAAACATCCTGGGACCACAGCGTGTGATATTACAACTCTAGTTCTGCTATTATCGCATTCAGCCCAGTGTTATGAGCTCAAATAGGCCCTTACACAGAAGAAGCAAGATGCGCATGTTTTATTTTTGTTTTTTTTGTTTGCAAGTGAGGGGAACCGAGTGACATCATTTGACAACCGCACTCATTTGTCTTGTGATTGCAATTAATCAACCCCACAGTCTGCCCATGGGTTTCAGAAGGAGAGATGAGAAGGAGTATAGTGGCATAGTGGTGCACGGTTGAAAATATGATAACATTTTAATGGGAATGGGTGTTTAGGAAGCTGAACCCAATATGAATGCATGAGAAAAGAGTTCAAAGTTGTTCGAGGAGGGGGGTAGTCTGTCGGGTATAATGGGATCCCTTTTGTGGGCTGTTCTATAGCCTCCAGAGCTTTTTGTAACTCACACCTGACATTGGAGGATTTGAGACGCGGCGGGGCGCATACCTGTTGGTGCGGTGTGGTGTCTTTCAGCCCAGACGGAACAGCTCTCTCTTCATCTCCGCTACGCGCTCCCTGCTCACGGCGCACTGCCTGGCATTCCCCTCTCCAAACACGTCTCACCCGGGTCTTGTCTGTCGGCCCCCGCTCAGACGCACGCTCCGGTATGTTCAACAGAAGCAGCAAAAGTTATTCCATTAACATCCACCTCGGCTTGTCTGGACAGAGACGACTCCCCCCTCGGAAGAGACGCAGGATCTCCAGCGCTGCTCACTCCTCGCTAAAAGAGTCTGATGTGTCAAAGTTCCGCGCCTCCTCTTCTCCACTGGAGCGCGCAGCACGAAGCGGCAACTTAGTTATTGAACCGCGGTGAAAAAGAGAAACAGATCCAGCCAGACTAATGCGTTTTTTATGTTTGGGTTTCCTGTTTAAAGTGGAGTTCAAGTGACGGGACAGAGGTGCTTCGCGGGCGGAGAGTCAGGCAGAGTGAAGCGCGCGTCTGTGGATCTGCTGCTAAACTGAGTCTGAGGAAGAGCAGCGCGCCCTAGCGGCGGGATGAGGATCAGCAAGCAGCAAAAACATCAGGGTTCCACAAAACACTAATCTTTTTAATGGAAATAACATCCACCAAGATGTCAAGTGGGGAAATGTTGATGTTGCAGCACACATAAAGGACAGTAGTAAGAGCATACAAGGAGCACTGAAGGAGCACACAAGGAGTAAGTAAGTTTTTATTTATATACCGCCTTTTCACTGCAGATCTGAGTCTCAAAGCGGTTTACAATTGTTAATTTTGGGCATTTGTCTCTCACTCCACACAGAGATGGGAGCGGGGTCGCCAGTACAGGAGGCACATGCCAGAACTATTGGACATATTTTTAGTGGTAGGGGAAACCGGAGTACCCGGAGGAAACCTACGCAGACACGGGGAGAACATGCAAACTCCACTCAGAAAGGCCCTGGTCCGACCGGGATTCGAACCCAGGACCTTCTTGCTGAGAGGCGAGAGTGCTATCCACTCAGCCACCGTGCCGCCCGGAGCACACAACATACACACTAAGTAGCTGTAATGTGTCTTCTTCACTCTCTGTAAACGCTTCATAAGTGCAGTAAACCCAGGGATGTACTTTTCTCACGAGGCCTTTATTATAAAAGATCATGGGACGATGAAGAAGCATTCATTGTTCCAACGCCATTACAATGTTCAAATAATACACTTTTTATGTTCACTACATGTTGCATAGCATAACATTAGAGGCCAGTTAGTTTTCTATTAATGGCTGATAATCCTCACCCCCTGGAGAAAATCTAGATTTAGTGACTCGTAGCACATTTGGTTGTTTGATTAAATATACGTTGTAAACACATTTTTATTTAATTCTACTGTCATTATAGAATTTTCTGAGTCATAATACCTCATCTCAGCATGTGCAAGTCTATAATTTCAATAATAGATTAATCAGTTAACCAGTTCCTTCGGGGGCTTAGGTTTTCCCCACCACCTGCAGCATATATAGCATATAGGTAAATGCCCAACCTTAAATGCCCTAAAGTGGCATTTAAGGTTGGGTCAATTATACATGGCACACGTTTCCCTATACAAGGACTTGTACTCATATATGTGTAATTCTAGCAATAAATTATGCCATGAACTTGCTATGGATGTGTCTGTATGCCTCTCAGGAGACAGGAGTAAATAGACTGAAATGTTTGTCACTTGAGGAAGGACAAAACAATATTGTCTCACACATACAGTGCACCCCTCCACTGGGCTGTGTGAAGTTCAAATTAAATTGAACTCACTTTAGCTGCAGCCTCTTTCTCCCCAAAGACTTCTTCACCAGTGAGAGAGTGATGGACGCCATTCTCCGTCTGTATCGGAGCATCTTCAACTTCCCCAAACCAAAAAAAAAACCCATCTTTACTGCAGTTCATTTGAGGAGACCACTTCACTTCACTGTCTGTGTCTGTGAGTGCGACGTTGGACTAGTTTCCCCCCGTGTGTCCAGGGTAACAGATGGTCAGCAGGAAGTATTAAGGCCAAGTGAGGCGGTGAGGAAACTGTGTTGTGAAGTCTTTTGCTTGGAGAGAAAGTATAGCAGAAGTCAAGGTGCTGCTGCCATACTGTGAGGATAGTGTATTTTTATAAAGAGTGTGTGAGATGTAATCGAGGTGATGATGTATGGTTGCACACATGCCCGACGGGGTAATTGATCCATAGTGGGGGTGTGCGTGGAGGCCTGGTGCCAGTCATACATCATTCCAGCCAGTGAGCTAATCCGTTACGCTGACAAAGAGTTCCCATTACAGAAGTCTCCACTCGTTCAGCCTCCTCATCCTCTCTTTCCCAACGCTTTTTTGCCAACCAGCCTCAAATTCCTCATTGTCCGATCTCCCTCAAGACTCAATAAAACCTCATAACTTTTACCCAATCCTTGCAGAAAATTTCGGATACAAAATTGCACATATAGCATAATTGGGGCATCATACCCTATTTCAGTTTTGTGAATATGAAAAACATAAGATAATGTTCTGTTGGTGTGAAAAGCTGTCATCACTTTTTGGCCTTTGTCATAGCTTTACATCAGCTTTTTCAGACTTTCATAAAAGGAATGGATCATCCTCATTCAGTCAATTAGCCCTTGCCCTAAAGCCTCAAGTAGTGACTCTCAGGGCTCTTTCTTACTAGTATGTAAAATATCCAACCTAATATATAGGTATGCACAATTCCCCTGGTGCTATGAGCGTGGGGTGGCAGCTCTGATTGTGAATGAATGAATATATAGAGATTTTAAGATGAAGAAAGCATTTTGTAGTCTGATTTGATCACAGCATGTTATTGTTAAAACATTATCTACTAGAAAGTTTAAATAATGTGTTTCAATACTTATATATTGATTATTTTATTCAATATTCAATGCTAGAATTCTTTTTGCATGATGTTTTTTACTCTATTTCTGCCTTCATGGATAAATCCTACACATGGGATTGGTCCTCATGCCCTGCTGGCTGGCAGTTCTCTCCAACTCTGCATGTGTACTGTTAGATAACAAATAGCGAGACACATGCATGCGCCATCCCAGGGCTGCTTGGAAGGCGGCAAAAATCAGTCTAATTCTTGTGGGATGGGTGGCATTTTGCACACGGCCCACACACTCTGCGCCTGGTGGCCTTCCAGTGCCACCGCAGATTAGAAATGGTCCAGGCCAAGGCCCCTGTGAATTTCTGTCACAAGAAGATAGAGGGTTCCCCGAGAGAGTGGATTTGCATGAATGTGTCTCCATTTTGTTGTGAACTGACATTTAGTCTGCCACGCTGTGTGAAATTACTTTGAGTGTTCAGGATTTATGGTGTTTTACTTCCCTCGACACATATCACGAATAGAAACGTTTTGTTTCATTCTCCTGTGAATCAACCACCTTATTGTGGGCATAAACTGTACTATTTTATCACAGTTTAGATAATTATTTTACACATGGAATATACAGCCTTGACAGAATGTGTATTTGTTTTGATAGTTATGTTAGTATTAGATAGCAATATGGCCTACGTGCAGGACTCTACAAGGACTCCATGTTATGACTATGATGTGACTGTCTCTTTGTGACACGTATGTCTTTCGATGTATGACGTGACAATGACTATATAAACTGTGTACTGCCTTTATTCTGTCTGAGAGAAAGAAACAAAGTAAACCAGTGGAATTTGAGAGAAACTTAAATAAACTTCCAGAGTTTGGCACACCACGATCCGTCTCTGTCTGCTAAATCCTAACAGTTATTGATTTTAACAGACAAAATGCAGAGTAAGTAATCCAAACTGGACAGATGAGATGGGAATAAATGAAGGATCATGAGATAATCCAGGCACATGTGGAGACAGACACATGGCTCTGCAAATCCTCATAATTATCACTGTAACCATTAGACATGAAGCAGCTGCTCCAGCAGTTAATATGTGGTCATATTTTTAACTGATGAACTGGCAGTACATTCTGCTGCTAAAGTAGAACGAATGTTATATTTATGTGTTCAATCACATTCAATTAAATTCCCCTAATTCTTCTTTGTGCGAATGTGGTGTTGGCCTGATTTTATCCTGGAAGTCCTTCTCAACTCAAAGATTCTACACTCTGGAGATGACCTGGAGGAAAAAGAAGTGTTTGTACTATGCTAATTCATGTACCTTCCAGAATTGTATTTGCCCAACTACTTTCAAACCTGGGGCATTTTTCATAACATACATTTCTTTGTTCCAACTGAAAGAGTTTTGTTGTGGTCTGTACCAATCAGACCACAACATGCTGTCTTCATCTTCTTATAAAACATGGTATCTTCTTTATACTTAAATATGAGCTATGTTGTCACTATTGGATGCTTCTGAGAGCTGATTGGCTGACTCCCTCCCTTTTTCATTTTTTAGGTATACAAAAAACTCCAAACAATGCGACAAACACAAATCTTTCTTTAAGATGGATCTTATTACATAGTTTCATGTTTTGTGGTTTGAATGTTAAACCTCAGATTCAACATTACAAAATGTAATGTAATCTCCGGGGGTGACAGTAGCTCAGTTGGTAGAGCAATCCACCATGAGACCTACTTCACGAATCCCAATGCTGTTGTTGTGTCCTTGGGCAAGACACTTAACCCCACTTTGCCTGGAGCACCCACTGGAAGATCAAGGTTCCTGTGGACCCACCACCTGCAGGAGGATCAGTGAGGGGCTGGTGCTAAGTGTACTGGGTGCAGCTCTGACTGCCACCCCCCCCCCCCGACCCAGAAATGGATTAATGGGAAGAAAATGGATGGATGAATGGATGGATGGATGGATGGATGTAATCTCCCTGTAATTACCTGCCTTCTCCACATTGGCAGACATCCTGAGCATTAGTAGATGAAAAAGAGCAGCTGTGATGTCCTGGATGTGTGTGCTGGTTTGTTCTTATTCAACTCTCAAACTTCCCATGATTTAGCATGAAATCAAAAGAATACTTTGAAAAACAGTTTATCATGAACCCATATCTGTGATTATATTATGTCTACATGGAAAATTAAAAGTTGTATCCAATTCCGAGACTGAAAAAGCTGAGAAAGCCATTTTGTACTTGAAAAGTTCCTTGCAGGACTTCGAATAATGCAGTACTGTAGATCACTTATCAGACGCTGTGAGCTGAGTTGAAAGACGGCGCTGCTCTGGGCCAAGAACACTTTATCTGAGATAGCAGCGGGGTGCGCCCTTCCCACCCCCGCTCTCCTCTGTCGGTACCACTCTTTTTTCACTCACAGATGTAAATGTTCAAACGGACTAAATTCTTCAAAGCTGCAATGAGCATGAAAGCACAGTCTCCTCCCTCATTGCTAATTGATGGCC